CTCCATGTAGCACACAAAGCAAGAGAAGAAAGTAGAAGAAATGCATAATATAGACAGTAAACAGAGGTGGGAGACAAAGGAATGGTAATAACGGAGAACAAAACAGTTTAATTGGAAATCATAAGTCACAAGGAGTGGATGCATCTGCACCAGTCATTGAGAACGATTTTGAGCCATATCACCAATTGTTTCCAGCCTCCATTGGTTTTTACCATCCCGAGAACCCCAACCAGGAAGTCTACATCTTCCTACGTGGCTTAGACTAACTTGTGGATTTCATTGACTGGTGCCATGTTTTCGTTTGACCGCCGCTAGCTCTTTTCCAGCCTGACCCTATATCAGCTAACATTGCCCAGTGTCGAGGAAGGCGATGACTAGGCATACGTAACACATGTCCTAACCATCTCAGCCGATGTAATTTCACCGTTTCGTCGATTGATTTCCCCGCCTTACCTGGCACTCGACGCATTACCTCAATATTGCTCACCTTATTATACCACTTCACTCGGGAGATAGAACGCAGACACCTATGATCAAACACAGCTAATCTTTTCATGTCTTCTGCTCTCAATGGCCAGGTCTCACTGCCATAAAGGAGGACGGAGCGGACTGTTGAGCAGTACACACGCCCTTTGGTCGATAGCCAGTCGGAAATCACGTCTACGCCAGAGACGGCGTAAACTGGCATATGCGAAACTAGCCCTCTGTATGCGTACTGAGATTTCGTCGGAGATCAACCCGTTGGCACTGGCTGATGGTGCTTCCCAAGTAAGTGAAGTGGTCAACGTGCTCTACCACTTCACTTCCTATTTCTAATCTAGAGGTCGGTGAAGTCCAATCCTGCAGCATCATCTTACATTTTACAAGGGCGAATCGCATGCCAAACATACGAAGATTGTTGCTCAAGGTGTTCAGTAGACTCTGCATTTTATCAGAGTCCTCGCCTAGAAGGACTATATCGTCCGCATATTCTAAGTCGACGAGATTATTCCCTGGTAGCAAGTCAATCCTGGAGTCTCTGAAGTGAGTTAGGGTTAAGTCCATTAGCACGTCTATGATGAAGTTGAATAGAATTGGGGATAATGGGCATCCTTGACGGACGCCACTAGTCGTCACCACTTCAGATAACAACTCGCCGTAAGCCTTCATCTGTCTGTATGAGTACGAGTAGAGTGCCTTAATCAGTGCAATATATTTTCTCGGCATTCCCTTTACAGCCAAGTATCGCCAGAGTACCTCTTTGTCGACAGAATTGAATGCCACTTATAGGTCAAGAAATATAATCATTGTTGGACGCCATTAGGAATGCCTATATTCTAGAATCTGTCGGAGTGTGAAGATGTGATCAATACACCCTCTTTCTGGCCTAAAACCTGCCTGGTTTTCTCGTGTTTGTGCCTCCCGAGCACCACTTAGTCTACGCAGTATTATTGAGCCTAGGATTTTAGATACTATATTAGTCAAGCTAATCCCTCTGTGATTATCACAAGAAGACTTGTCTCCCTTCTTGTATGTCGGGATAATCAGTGACTTACACCAACCCGATGGGACTTCCTCTGATTCCCAGACGCTGCCTAGAACCTCAGTTAACGCAGACAGTAAACTATCTTCACCATACTTAAATACCTCTGGAGTCAATCCATCAGGTCCCGCTGCTTTGCCTTGCTTCAGATTAGTGACAACTTTAGTAACCTCAGTTAAGGACGGAGGACCTGTGTCTTTATCCCATTCAGGGAGGTGTTGGATGTTCGGCAGGTTAAGTGTGGCTGTGGGCCAATTAAACTGCTCCTCATAGTGTTCTTTCCAGAGCTCCAGACGTCTATCCTGGGAGCTAATTATGGTGCCATTTTTCTCCGAGATTGTTTCGCTTATCATTTGCCTTTTGCCACCTGTTTCCCTGATAAGCCTGAATAGCTGTCTGGTGTTGTCAATCGCCGATGCCTTTTCCATCTCTTTCGCTTTTGTCGCCCACCACTGTTCACGGTCCTTGCGAAGACTTTTTGTTAGTCTTCGTTTAAGTACCTTTCCCTCCTCGTCATAGTCGGAGCTCGCTGGAATCAGTCTTCTTGTGTCAATCAGTTAGGTAGTTTACATATTACTTCTCAATCAACGATGAGCTGTCGAAGTCAATAAAGTTAAGGTAAAGTGAGGTTTGACTGCCATTCTATGCTTTTGTTAGACAATACTACTAATAATAGTACTCAGTAGCTAGTTCAATTTAATGTTAACCTCGGAAAATGTTATTATTACATATGTGATAAGTTAAAACAATTGTTATTAATATTTAATGCAATAATAATATCCACACTTACTTTGTTTTAATTAATCTCTTCTCAGAAATATAAATAAATAGAATTAGATACCTGAAGGTATTCATTTTTAAAATTATCTAATCACATGATTAAATATTGATTATTTCAATATTTAGTTAGGCCAGAATTTCATTAGATCTAGTGTAGGCTAAGTTAAAGGTAAGTTTCTTAATGCTTCTTAATTTTATTAATAGATATGTGTTTTTTGGATTGGACACTAGTAACTAGTGTGATGTGTCTAATCCTTTCTTTTGTGCAAACTGAATTCTATCAGTCAGGTTTGCAATGTGGCCACCATGCCACTAGGTAGCTCGCCATCACGGTGCACATTAATTTTATGACATTAGATTGTTGAAGGCAATTGACAGGAAGCCTTGTACACCACCGAGGTTTCGTGCTGGTTGGCACTCACCTGTCAGGAAGGCTTATCTGCAACCACATTGAAGGAACTCATGTCCCTGTCGTCTGAGATTCGAACCCGCGTCACCCAGTGCTACCTGCAGCTAGAGACACTACTACTGGGCTATTCGGGCTGACGATTGACCTCCCTTGGGGACTGTATTGGATACTTTGATTGGACATTAGATAGTAACTAGTGTGATGTGTCTAGTCCTCTCTTTGGTGCAGACTGAATTTTATCATTCAAGGTCGCAGATACGCGTTGCTGACTGGTGGGTGCCAACTAGCACGAAACCTGCGTCCAAGGCTTCCTGTAGATCGCCTCCAACCATCTAATGTCATCAAAATAGGTGGGTGGTTATTACGTAATCGTTTTCAAGAAAAATACATTAATTTACAATAAAGAATCAGAAATAAAGACCTGAATTAATTTCTCGCCTTAAAATAACAAAACTAAGTTTAACTGAGTAGAGGGAATTTAAATTAATAGGTGAATTCAGATTATAGGACTTGTGAAGATATTACATTAATTATAACTGTTAGATTATCGTCGAGAACCAACAACAGTTAGAGAGGTCATTCAAGACCAGGGAACAAGGTACAGCCAAATATCTTCTATTGGTTTGGGGCTTCTCAGCAATACACACTTTCGACCTCACCAGAGATGGAATCCGTGACCTTCACACCACAAAATTAAGCTCATTAACCATCCAGTCACTTGGTATGGAACTTAGCGGTCCTTGAATTCTAAATTTGCCAACTCATGATGCAGCGCTGCTCTCACTAACGTCTTCGATGAGCGCTGAACTCACCTTGACATCGTGGATGCCATTGATCACAGCTTTCCACTGACGCTTCAGCATGGTGAAGTGTGTGCTCATCAAGAGCATTATTGGAGGTAGCGCTGGTTCAATTCCTGGTGGATTCATGGGACTTCACTCCTGAGGAGCCGCAAAATAGGACGAAACAGATCTCCAGTGCTTCTTGGTTCTCAAGGATCTCTCTAACTAAAGTTGGTTTGTAAAGAAAGTCTGACAGTTAATATTAGGTGAATGGTAGTTAACACTAGAATTCAGAATGCTTGGTTTCTCCTGTTTGGGACTCGTTAACTGAATGTACCTGTATTGCGAATGAGCCAAAGTGCTACTATCGACACCCGAGACTCATCTTTTTAAACGCCAAAGGTTCATCCACTGTAAATACTTTCACTCATTTGAGCTGTAAATAAATTCATCTAACAAGTGCAAATTATAATTCCGCTAGTACCTGCCGTCAACCAAAAAACACTTTGTCAATACTCAGAAATCGTTGAACCATTTATACTCGGTTCCGATATGTCAACAGAAACCATATTAGAATCAATGGGAAATACAAATTAACTTAAAAAACAGAATTTTAGTTTCGAAAAACTGCTGTTTTTTATGAGGATATAATAGATCTCAATGACGACATGCTTGTCAAACATGCACCGGATATTGACAACACCAACAATAAGGAATCTAAATCATCAGTAGTAATTCCATACAAAGAAGGAACTTGTAAAACATTAAGGCGGAGAATTCTTAACAAAACAGTCAGGAATAAAAGTGGTATTCAAAACCACAAACTCGATTAGAGACAAGCTTTGTCGGTTAAATGGTGGATCCTGTGGAGCCAATTAAACAAAACGATTTAGTTTATCTAGTACCCTGCTTGAATGATTGTCAGGTCAAATACATAGGTCAAAGTAGTAGAATAGAGTCAGTTAGTCAAACTAGCAGATCATAAAAGCCTAGGAAAATCTAGATTAGTTGACCCGAATAAGATAAGAAACCTAGAGAGTAGTTCAGTTATACCACTCACTACATGCAATTACACACAACAATACAATGGGATGATGGGATGGGATGACAGTTTTAAAACCTAATGTAATATGGTGGAGGGATAGATTGGTAACGGAAGCATCGTTTATCGAATCAACTGCGAACCAATACGTGTAACAGGAATGATTTAACACCTGTCCACTCATCTGGACATCTGGAAAATTCTACTACCCTTATGACGACAAATAGGACAGAATAAAGAAAAATATAAAACTGAAGTTTCGAAGTCGTGTGATTATAATTGATGAAGTGATTATGAACAATAATGAATTGTGTTCGAAATGTCATCCAGTAAATAATACTGTTTCACTGTATGACGTAACTCCACCTGTTTTTTTAAAAATTCATGTATTTATCTGTGTATCTATAACATTTTAGAGATATTGTTTGTATAAATGTCAGGTTGCCTGAGGCAGACAGCTGAGGAATGCCAAATTTACCATTTTCACAACTATTAGTATGGCTGACAGTATTAACTATCTTCCTGAGAAAAGTTAATTGCCAGTGTAATCTTACATCGGAAGAATCAAAGTTGGACTTGAATCAATACGATCCCAAAACTGTCCTACCGTCAAGAGGAAATGGGAGTAAGTTTAAAATTTTAAATATTTAAGATGAAAGAAATTTCTGAATAGTCTACAGACAAAGCCAGAAATAAAAGACTCTGTCAAGACTGCTTGACACATTCACTGTTGTGATTTCTTATGGGGAATCAATATTGTGTTTCCATTCGCGTTAACTGCTGGTCAGCGCTGTGTGAAAGGTTTTTAAAAAAATCCCATCGGCTAATTTCACTTGTAGCTATTTCATTTTGTGTCTTTGATTTATGCCCATTTCACTCTTTTCCTCTCTTATGTTTGAATTTCGCGTATTGAAATGTGTAGGCAGTTAATACTTCCTGGCTGTCATCACTTAGGAAGTTGAGCTTAGACTGAATTATAAGAAATATAAAGGATCTTAGAGTAGCATGACCTCAGAGCCCAGTAGAAAACTGCTTGAAGTCGGTCACACACATACACACAGTTTGTTTGAAATAATTTCTGCAATTGTGTTCGGTTTTAAGACCTTACTACCACCTACAGCCCGCTATAGGGTAAGTCAAAATGTACACACCCCCGGATCTAACCTCTCTTTCTAGGGTGGAAAAGCAAGATAACTGTCTTTCTAGTCCTCGAAGGGAGACACCCAAGTGCTAGCAAGTCCTTATTCCATTGCAGCATTACTTCGCCTTCACGGCACGCAACGTAGTGTGTGGATGACTGATACTATGATGGTAATAACCTTCAGTCTAATCACTGTCTGAACATATTTTCTGTTGCAATTGGACCTACAAGAACTCTACTCCCAGCCAACATAGCTCAGAATCTAAGCAGTCCAGCTAGCCCCAAACTTGTGCGAACATTCCATGTCTACGTTTTTTCTATCAAAATAAGATACACTGGCTGACTGGTTTCACGGAGGCTTTCATCAGATAGTATTATGTTTTGGCAAGTGCTACTGATAAGATTTATCAGTAGTATGTAATGAGACGTTCGTCAGCGTAAAATATCAAATATGGCAGGGATATACATTTGATTTCAGAGAAGTCAAAGGATGCAGCGTTGTGAGGATACATGAGAGACGCGAAAGGAACACAAAGAAACACAACGGGAAGTCCAGAAGTGACAAGCTCATCACCAGTCTTGAGCTCAAGTCGTGATGGGCGCATATTGCCGAAGAGCCCCAGACTAAGATTCAACAGCTGTGTAGTGCTCCCTGGTAGGTTTCCAATAGTTCTCCAACAGATGTCAGCTCATGATGAGATCCTGTAACCAATCAAATCTCTGCAAAACCGACATTTGAATATAAATATTGAATGGACGTTGTGCTCAATAAATCAGAAATGTGAACTGATAATTTTTTAGTGTACCACCGTGTTATTTCAGTCAGACAGTCAAAAACCTAACCAGCACTAGTTGCAGGGAGGGTTAGTGAATACAATTTGTATATGCATGCATTCAAAATATTTGTCTATCGATAGAAAAGACCTTCATTCACATGTGACATAAATCTAAACCCCTCTAATAATTTATTCTTCGCTCATTTTTCGGGCATGATCAGAAACAATAATATATAATCAATAATCTAAGTGTGAATCGGCAGAAATCCTTCTTGTTATAACCATGTTAGCAGATGTTCCTTTGAGTTACTAGTGGAACACATGACTTCAAGTCTGAGCTGGGAAGTTTCAGTAGGCATGGAGTTGTTTTCAGACAGCGAGGTTGCTAGCATCAAACCTAATCTCCCCTTTTCACAGGTGGAGGTTTAGGAGTGTGTCAACCGGGAATCAAACCAGAATCACAAACGTCTCTATAGTTAAAATCATAGAAACAAATGAATTAATACATTAGTGTAAAGATACTGAAATGTTTGCTTCTGTGGTTTATTTTCATTCCAGGTTCATGTGCTGTGATGACGCGTTTAGCGCTTGGTGGTGCTTGGTTGACTAATTTAGATGAAGGAGGTAAGCACTAAATGAAAAAACGCTGAATGAATAGCATAAAACAGCTTGTAAATAGGGACGTTGTGGATGATAGATGGAGGTGAAATTTAAATCTGGGCTGCTGCGCGATTCACACCCATGGCTTCCATTTTTACTAGTCCATCTCATGAACAGCTAAACTACGTGTTATGACTCCTGACTAGGTCTTCATTTCACTGCATTGACCACAAGTAATGCAGGAACACTTCGTGTTTATTAGTGAAGCCTTTGTTATTATTATTATTATTATTATTATTATTATTATTATTATTGTAGGCATTATACTGCCATCAATTTTAACTGAAGAAATATATATAGAATTGGTTACAGGATTTCATCGGTTAGAGATCCAGTGGAAGACCTGCGAGTACTGGACAGCTGTCTCGTCAGCCTAGTGTGGGACTCTTGACGGTACGCACCTACCACGCTACCTAATTGGTAGAAGTTGGAATTCATGGGCTGGCTGGCCATTGGATCGGGTCCCAGTGGCTTAATGGTCTACGAGCTGGCTCGCCTTGTAACCAGAAGGTCATGGGTTCGACCCCCGCAATGTGCGTGCGTACTGCCGAAGAGTCCCAAACTAGGCTGACGAAACAGCTGGCTGTCCAGTACTCCAGTGCTGGTTTTCCAATGGTTGTCTATCTGATATCATCTCATGATGAAACCAATTAGTTAAATCCCTACAAACCAATACTTAAAATCTATAGAAAGTTTTTGGTATTTCTGTGGGGAAAGCTGTCTGCAAGACAAAATCGTAGACAACAATTGACGTCAATGTTTACCTCTCAAATCGGAGTCATGTGAAAAAAACAAGAACTCAACAACCAGTCACAGCAGACGCAGTGTGGGCAGATACGAATCGCAGATATATCACGAGACTGTCTAAGAAACGGCAACACAGATATGATAGAAAAACATTCAGAACAACACATTTAAGCGAACAATATTGTTTTCAATTAGATCTCATCAGGCTTAAATCTAATGTATATAACTTTACAAATAAAAATTCAAATATAAACCAATCACAGTGTTTTGTCTATAGGATAATAGGATGGTGAATATAAATTGTGCAATTAGTCATAATAGTAGTAATGATAATAATAATAGTAATAATAAAAATGGTCTTATCAATAATAAGGATGAAAAAGTAAGGCACTCTGTGATAACACGAATAATGAAAAACAGCATGATTAAACAAACAACTGTGTCAGGTGGAAGTGGTCGATAAAGGCTAGTAAAAACAAACCGATTAAGTACTGTTAGATTGTAAGGGAAGGAAATGAAACACGTTTATAATGAAGATAAGATTAAGGGATGATAAGAAAGGGGTTGAAAATATAAACAAAGGGTGGTGTAGAAGTGATTAGTTGGTTATGTCTTAATAGGCCAAGGGAGGGATAATGGCTGTACGAACTTTTTTTGAATACATAGTTTAGGTTTAATAGTTCGAATCACTATCGCCTCAGCTATGTGCAGTAGACGAATACGAAGTCTATTGGAAAGATTCGGTGGGATACGGTGAATTACTTTGAAGGCTTTTGTTTTCTCGATTACATGACCACTATCAATTAAGTGTGACAAAATTGAGCTACGAACTGTTTTAGTCTGTCCTTTACCAAACCACGATGGGAGATGTTCACTAACACGTTGGCTAAGCTGTCTAGTAGTACGCCCAATATAACTGTCACCGCAGGTGCAGTTGAATTGATGGCTTCATGTTTGCCCATAAGCTGTCATCTCCCCTTCACATTACCTTTCGTATGTCACCCGTGAACCCACCCGAATTTCCTCATTTACCAGTCGGGTTGTACCCGACTTGTCAGCTCACAGGTTCTTTATTGGCTCATTGACAGAGTTCCTTGTTGCTAACCCTTTCTGTCCACTTGATCTTCACTATCACCCCATCGAAGGCGGCCGTTGATGAAACTCTACAGTCTGTTGGAGATGCCTTTGGTGACAGGTAAATGGAAGCAGTGATTGAACGTTTAGTGCTCCAAATCAGAATCCTGACGTTTCTGCTAAATGCAGTGGATTTCTAAACTGATAAGTGAAACATTGCTTCAGTGGCACAGCGGTAGAATGCTCGCCAGACACGCAGGTTGTCCGTCGTTCAATTCTTGGCCACCGACGCACTCCTTTACCTTGCTAAGCCAGTAATAAGACTTGTAAAGAGAGAAGATTGGGCATGAGGCTAGCAACCCCATCCCGCAAAAATAAACATTATTACTACCGGGACTCCAACCCTCTTGCTTGAAGTCCTGTGTTTCAGTGTGAACGCAAAGGAATAAAAAAGTGAAACAGATGACCCCTTTCATATTTCTCCTGTAGATTTGATTGATGCTTATTGCTGTTGGTTAGGGTTCCTTATCACCTCTGTCTTCTGTGTGTTCACCTCGAGGTCTGTCTTTCACACCTCTTCTTCTAGCTTATTGGTTTTTGGTTGTAGATCATCGAGTTTGTGTGACACTGAGCATAATTCATCCGTGAAGTCCAGACCTCCTAGGGTCTCTTCGTAATTACAACGTATTCATGTCATCATCACTGATAGTAGATAGCAGTCTTGTCTTACTCCTGTCCTTACTTAGAAGCCTTCGCTGAGATTTGTATTGTGTATCACTTGACATATGACATCATCAGGATATAGTTGTTGAATGAGGTTGATAAAGGTTTAGGGCACAACGCAGTGTAGAGGCTGTCTCCAAATTGCCTCACAGCCGACACAATCGAAAACCTTTCCAGAGTCAATGAAGTTTAGGTAGAGAGAGAGCTTTGGCTGACATTCTATACTCTGTTCGATGTTGACACACAGCGTTGCAGTGTGATCCTCAAATGATATACTTTTTCTGAATTAAAACAAAGTCTATACCGTGACATTAATTTAGACTGATAAGTATGCTACCAACAACCTACTATTTTAGAATTGACTCGCTTAGCTCACAGTTTTATGAAACTTATGGCAAAGTGAAGATGTCCTGTTATCTATTTGCTTCATTCTATTATTACTACTATGGCCTTGAGTTCTAAGTGGAACACAGGGCTTCAACAACGCATCTACACTTCGTTCTACTTTCTGCCGTCCTCTTCAGCTTAGTCTGCGATTGACCTTAATCTCTCATCTCCTCCATGTCACCGTTACACGGACGACCCACTCGTCACTTCCCACTGGGATTCAAATCGAGCGATGTCCTGCAGTGCGCACGATGTCATTCTACGGTCTCTCCAATGTATGCCCGATCAATCCATCTCCATTTTCTCCTACATATACATTGAACGATCGGCTCTTGGTTGGTTTGTTATGAGGGTTTTTTGTTATCACTTCTTTCTGGCCATTTGATCTTCAGTATGGAGCGAAGGCAAATATCGATGAAAGTCTGCAACTTGTAGGAAATCCTTTTCATGACACACTGGCAAAGTTTCTGACTCGCATAGAAGGACCGACTTGACATTTGTGTTGAAAATGCGAATCTTGTTCCTTTTGCTGAATGCAGAAGATTTTCAAACTGGTTTCAGGTTGATGAGGGCGTATCTTGCCTTTCCGATGCTGGCTGGCTGGCTTTGACATCTTCATCCGTGCCGTCCAACTACCTATCCTTGAAACTGTGCTTCCTAGGCAGATAAGTGAAGGAAGTAATCTCTTTTAAATCTCTCCCACTGATGGTAATTGATGCTGATTTTTGCTGCTATTAGTGATGGTTGGTTACCCTCATCACCTCTGTCTTCTCCATATTCATCTGGAGTCCTGACTTCTCTGTCTGCCTCTTCAAATACTCTATTGGTTTTCGCCTGTAAATCTTCGAGTTTGTGTGACGCTAGACATATTTCATCTGCGAAATCCAGATCTTCTAGAGTCTTTTAAACCGTGGTCCAGCGTATTGCTGTCTCCTCGCTCCCCACACACTGACTGGCGCATAATACAGTCCACCACAATGAAGAATATCATTGGTGATAATAAGGAGGCAGCCAGTAGGCTTTTCTTACTCTCGTATTCATTCCAAGGCTAGGCTTCACTGAGTTTTCCACTGTGGATCACCTGACACGTGGTATTGCCATATAGCCAAGTGTTAAATGAGGTTGATAAAGACTTGAGGTACTCCGTAGTGTTAAAGTAGTTTCCAAATTACTTCTCGGTCAACGCTCTATGTTGAAGGCCTCTTCGAAGTCTCTTTATATATATATATATATGGTCTCCCGTTCTATGTATTTTCTATCATGTCCTAACAGATGTACTATGTCCACCACAATTACCTGAAGTCTGTTATTTTATTGCATTGAATACAAGTCTAACAAGAAATGAAGCACATAAATTTTGCAGTCAACTAGGTCTTACCCTATGGAGACCATGGTCACTTAAAGAAGAAGTAAGTAGTCTGTGACTTTCAGATATCTGGTAAACCAGCACATATATGTTTGCATTTTTTCACTGACTATTCACTTGACAGTAATATTGAGGTGTGTGATACAGATATGAATTTGTGAAACTCGACACATCAGTCAAAACATTTCCAACAGACATTCACTAGCAACTGCCTTCTTTGACTCCCTACTGAAGATCAGATGGCCAGGAGGGGGAGGAGATTAGCAGTGAGGAGCTCTGACAACTAACCAACTAAGGAATTACTGACCAACAAATATGCATTAGGAAATGGAGATGGATTCGAAACACACACACATACACTGAGGAGACTGTAGAGTGATGTTGCTTGCCGGGCGGACCCTCGAGTAGAACTCCATTGTGAAATAGCAAGTTGGGCGAATGTCCGAAGGAGACATGGAGGAGACCGTATGAGGAAGAGTAAATGGAAGCTAATGGGCAGTTGTGCAGTCATATAAAGACGACTGCAGATGACAGGATGAAATGGAAGAGTGTTACTGAAGCGTCTGTGGCACAGCGGCTAAGTCTTTCGCCAACCATGCACATGGTCCGGGGTTCGATTCTCTGCCGACGCACACCTGATATCAATGGTCGGCCTGCAAAATTTGGGCTACCGATAACACATGCTGAGAATTCCATAAATGTACTAAAAATACGGCGTGGAATCAAGCTATAATCAAAAATTAAAAAAGTTAAAACTATGGGACCAGTGCTACTAATAAGATTTATCTGTAGTATATAATCAGACGTTCGTCAGCATAAAACATCAAATATGGCAGGGAGATACATTTGATTTCAGAAAAGTCAAAGGATACAGTGTTGTGAAGATACATGTGAGACGTGAAAGGAACACGAAGAAACACAAAATGAAGTCCAGAAGTACCACAACACGAAGATATGTGCAAATGATGCGTTGAAGATGAGGCTTACATAATTCACCTGTATTTAGATACCGATTGCAAGATACACATTCTTTTACCAAGTAAAACTGTATGCAGTGTCTTCCCCTAGAATCTTAAATATCGGAGTAGTGGATTAACTTGGGAAAGGGAGAAATAATAGATCTCTGTAAGACAATAAATGTAAAGCATGAGTGGGAGACACACGAGGATGCAGAATATGAAGAACTGAAGAGAATGGAAATTTCAAGCGATGACGTGGCCTATCCCCAGATAAAGCCAGTTTAGGGGGATTCCATTAAGATTTTAGGGCAGGCTATTCAATTATGATACAGAAGCCACATATACTAGTCACCATGAGACGATGAAGACGCAGTTTCGGATGTTTGACTCTAAAGCCTGTTGGTGTCTTTATATGACTATCAGACAGCATTTGCTGCCACAGACTAGCAAGGCTTGTTCATCATTGAAAGTGGTGGGCTTTAACATCACTCAGAATTTCAATGTAAAGTTTTTAAATTTCGGTATCACTGAATTATTATTATTCCCTAGGGGTTCCGAGTGGAATATAGGGTTTCATCCACACATCTCTACTTTATTCAGTTTTCTACCATGCTCTTCATCTGGCCAGCACCACGATTGCGCATAATCTATCATCTCCTGTCACTCACACAATCTCCTCCATGTCACACGCGCACCTACGACCCACTCGTCATTTCCCATTGGGATTCCACTAGAATCATGGCTTGCAATACGCGCTATTTCTTTCGATGGCCTCCTCAACGTATGACAGACTATGGGCAGTTGTCGAACGACCTAAAGATGACCACAGAGAATAAGACAAAGGGAAGATGTGCTGTTGAATTCCTTTGTTCCACTCCGAACTGAAGGGAACATCAACAACAATAATAATAATAATCAGGAGACACATTTTTGTCATTCATAGTGAATCCAAAAATGCTGGTTTAACGTTGAATTTAGCGCCGATGCTGTCCAGAAGGACGGTGAAAGCACCGCAGTCAAACTAACCAGCTTAGAGAATATACAGTCACACCGAAGAGACTCATAACTATTAAAATACATCTCGATAGATAAAGAAAGACCAGATTTGCAGTATAAAGTGATATCATCATTCTACTTCAAAGGTTCTCCTCATCAGCTGCAGACCACTACCTGAAATTACGATGGTTATAAATAATAATAACATTTCATACTTCATTGTTTGAAAGATAATAGAGAAAACATTATAAGATGAACGCATCCGGAATATAAGTATTACAATTTTTATGTATCAATTTATATGCTATCAAACTATGAAAAAAAATGAGGGGGCTGGAAGAAGACAAAAACAGAAAAATCTAATAAACACTGTTAGCTTGGATGTCAACATAGCAACTCAAGAAGGTTAAAGTTCATCAAATTGGAAACTTGTTCAGTGAGCTGGGCTCACTAATGTGTATGACTAAGCAGTATAATGAAAGTAATATGCTTACCAAGGGAGTGAGAGATTGACTACACTCTCTTCCTGTGCGCATAAGTTTGGTGTGTGACGTTTGATTGCAATTGCTTCACAAAATTGTAGTAGATTCGGTGTCCTTTATATTTTTAATATTTTGAAGGATTTGGAAATCTCGACAAAATGACCCATATCCACAAGGTGTGTCTGGTAATTGCACTTTGTAAATATCTGCTTCCTTTTAAGCATAAGTTTTTTGGAATTTGCTCTGAAAACCGGATAGAAGCCCTTCTTTCTCTCCTTCCAATGTACTTGCTGCCGCAGGTGCACGTAAATTTATAAATGCAGTTGGAGGTGACATCAGCAGGGCACTTATCCAGTTTCGATTAGCTTATAGAGCATGTAGTGCTGTATAGTGCTGTCACCAGCTTGGCTGCACTATAACCCTTGTAATTTCATGTAGTGGTCTGCATATGATGAGAACCTGTGAAATAGAATGATGACATCATTTTATATTACAAATCTGGTCTTTCTTTCTTTATCGAAATATACTAAGGAAACCAAATGTATAAAACACATATGTTAGTGAACAACGGTAATAACTTATTTATATTTCTGTATTTCATTTAGATAATCATGAAATCAATTATGAATTCATTGAATGTCAGTGAATTAATTATCAATGTTAAAGTGATTGACAGATACACAATTATGGACATGGATGGAAATCATATCACACATGAGTAAGTTTTATGCCTCGACTGTCTTACCGCATACTAGTTCGAAAACTCCGTGCCAAAGTTATACCCCTGGGTTGTGAGGGGAATACAGAGAGCTCAAACAGTGTACATGTCCATTTCACTTTTACCACTGTAGTCCTCCTCAATTCCACCCTAAGCTTTCATCTACTTCTCGTATGACCTCCTCCACGTCATATTCAGACGTCCAACTTCTCGTTTCCCATTCGGGTTCCCATGAATGGGACTGTCTCACGTGTGATATCAGCCGACAGTTTCGTCATCGTGTGTCTGATCCATCTCCTTTTACTCCTGTCTGTTTTTTAGGTAAACAGTTACTGGTTGGTTTTTTGCCACAGCTCTTTGTGTTGACATCTAATCTGCAGTACGGATTGAAGGCAGCCATTGATGAAAGTTCTCAACCAGCTATAAGGGTTTCGAGTGATGCATCAAGTCACTGAGTTATATAAGAGTACCAAAATGAGATTAGTACTTATGAAAACCACAGTCTTGTTTCTGATACTAAGTGCAGCAAACTTCCATATATTGATTTAGATAACGCAATAAGAAGACGTAATTTGTCTGAAACGTGTAATGTATTTGCGCAACACATTTCGAACAATCTGATCCATCACACACGGACTTGTCATAGGAATATATATGAAATTAAGGAAGAGGTAAGAGGTGAGAAAATAGACTTAGGTCAAGTTTATAGGACATATTCAAGGTCGAAATAACAATGAAGACCACTAAACCAAATAGCAGAGGTAATAGTACATCTGCTATGGTATCAAAACAAAACTTACCAAGGAAGGTTTAATGTGATGACGAATTGTTTTTGAACGCATAAAGGTGGTTTAAACTTTTTAATTGCGAGATAGGGCTTCCACAGACTACAGGATATATTCTCTCCCAAACACATTTTATTGATCGGTTTAAAAGATCTGTTAACGTCAATTTTATGTCCTTTCTCTATAATATGTTTCGCAATAGAGGAGCTAGGTCTCCTGTTCTCACCATTAATTTATTAATCGGTTCTGGGGATTCCATTTGTTTCTGGAGCCATTTAGGAATATGCTCTGAAGCCAGCCCCTACTTGCAGAGATTGAGCAGTCCTCCCTATGTATGTGTCCACACGTACATTCAAACTGATAAATACATTGGGATGTGACATCATTTAGATGGATATATTGGCTTCACATTCTCAATTATTATGATATTAGCTGCATAAAAGGTCTTTTTAACTGCAGTGTTCAGTCTTTGTCTAGTTGTCAGGCTGATATGATCACCCATATAGGGTAGCTTGATGTACACGTCTTTCTTAGGGGCGATTTGTAGAGTGGGTCTTGGTGTTCTGACTACTTTATATCTCCTTATGAACTTGTCTGGATAACTGTTATCAACCAGAGTTTGTGTCAAGTCCGTGTGTGATGGATCAGATTGTTCGAAATGTGTTGTGCGCTCAAATACATTACACGATTCAGACAAATTACGTCTTCTTATTGCTTTATCTAAATTCATATAAGGGAACTAATTGTTTTAAATATATCGATTTCACAGAAATGAAGTTCCATTTCACCTTTCCGATCCTATAGTTGCCTAGATAAGTCGAATAGGTGACCTCCTTTAGATTACTTTCGTTGATGGTGACTGATGCTTGTTTTCGTTTGGTTTTCTTCTTCACCTCTGTGAATTTCTTCCAAAAGCAATTCGGGATGATAATCGGACGATTATTAAAACTACAGTGTTGAGTGACGCGTAAAATCCGAAACCACAGAATTTGTCTAAAATATGGTACTATATTAAAGGTAACATAGTGACAAACCTCAATTTTGAGGTTTCCTTGGCTGAATGCTGTCAAAAGCACAGTCAGTGTGTGTCAATAAGAAAAAAAAGCGGCAAAGCTGTGTCAGAGGCGATCCACGAGTAGATTTAATAATAATAAGGATATCTTTATTCTGGACAGTATTCTCAGAGGGGTTTATTGCATGATATTTTCCCTTCGTACAATATCTTCAAGTAAAATGTTAATTAATTGACAGTATATGCTTCCTGTGACACACAGTGGTCTCTGAGCTGAAGCACAAACCATTCCATTAGGTGATATATCTGCTTTGTCTCCTTCAAGAAATCTGTCCACGATATCTGGCTGAAAGCCAATTGTAAGGTGTTCAGAAGTACATTTTGAGACCAAAAGACATAATTGAAGCACAGTTATCTTATGTATTAGAACACATTGCCACCCGTTGTCAGGCCATTCCTTAAGTTTAATAGGAACTTGAGAATCAGAAGCTTGTAAGCACTTTAAATACACACAAGAGTAGATAATACCATCAGAGGTCATATCTTAATCGATTAAAACAAACCGAACGAGAGAAAATATATGCAATAGATAGAGACGGGAGTTTTTTGTTAGCCCAAGTGTTAAACAGGCCGCCAAATATCATCAGCGCGCCAACGCCAGAGACAGAATACAGGGATACGTATAAACAGTATTCAACAGTAAAGGATACATAAATAACGTACATATATAGTAGAAAATGTTTAACTACAAGAAAATAATTACTGTCCATCAAACAGACTATGAATACATTTATCGAGTTAAACTTCAGTAGCAAACAAAATCATGATTAAGAAATAACAAATAGACTCATACTACTTACTATTTAAAAAGTAGTATAAATTTAAACACAAAAGAAAGAATAACAAAGTGAAGATAGGAAAGGAATAAACAACTAGTATGTGTACATAAGATTAATTAAATTCACTATAATCTGTTGTTATAAATGGGTTTGTATCTCAGTGGAACACGATTACTCGCTCGAGGTGTAGGTATATCCGGTTCACTAATACCAAACAGAACGATACGTACATCCTAGATTCTACTGTCAATCGCCGTCAGTCAGATGATTGGAAACCATTTAAAATGGAATGCAGGCAACTATACATCAAAAGGAGGTCTGAGACATTACCAGACAGGTTTCCAATCTGAATGCTAATGACTTTGCTACAACCTCCAGAGTTTATATCTGTCACGGAGTTATTCTTCCCTAGGTTTCAAAAGTAAATATGAATTGGTTAACTAAACCAATTTCGCATTATTCATTTTCAGATTAGTTGAAAATGCATAATTCTGATTTGTCAACTTTTATTTATTTTTTTTAATTTAATGCCAAAATGAAAACAGTCATTTTCACAGTTTACCAGATTTCACTCCGGAAATGTGTTTCTATTTCTCCAAACCGTCAACATATTGGGTAATAAGACAAGACTGTGTGGTACCAAGTTTAGTGATTTGTAGTACAGACTGAGGTTATGCTGTTTCTATGAATAAATATGTATATATATAAACATGATTCATCAAAGCTTGTCTTCTTATATTTCTTACATGAGTTGATGTTGATCATATATCAGATGTTTATTTTTTTATGTAGTTGTGTTCTCTGAGCTGGATAGTTTATTTGCGAAGCCTTCATTTCCCTACTAGGCAACGTCTTCAGCGCATACTTCAAGTTGAAGTGTCCTCCTTATAAGGAGACCAGATGGTGAAATAAAGAGAAATTTGCATAGAGAAAGTACATGAACAGGACAATATACACACATTTTCACAGCTTTGCCCCTCTCCAGTACAAAAGAAATTTAGTAAGAACCCTCAGCCACAAGTTTACAGCTATATGCTCAGAAGAGGTAACTGAAAATTAACTAAGGATTGTATATGACTATCAAATGAAAATAAATATCCAGACAGATGCATCAAGAAACACACGGCAAAGAAAGCGGAAAAGGACTATTTTCCATCAGCAAATAAAAAGCCTTCATACATACGACTGCAATTCAAAGGCGATTTACCTGTGGTGAGAGCTGGCCGCTAGCCAAAGTTGGTAGACAGTAATTGACGTCAATGTTTATGTCCCCAATATTGGTGATGAGAAAATGAGAACAAAGCTTAGCCTAGGCGGATACAGTTAGCATATGGATGATCTGACACAGCCACAAAGAGATGCAAGGTTAACTTTCTGTGAGAAACAACCAATCAAGAGACTGTATTTTCTACGAACAATTATCTACAATAATGTACATTAAAATCTATAAATATGTGTTGATTTTCCTTAATAAACGATCTGTTGCCTGGCCCTTGTCTTCTGTTGTTACATACCTAACGAAATGACTACGAAGAAATTAGGAAAATCAGTACAAAGAACTTGAATGTTGGCAAACTACACGTCTTATTCTCTACACAACCGATGGTGATTCGCCAATTGAAAGATGAAGTACCTAGACTGCCCACTTCCAACTGCATCTACCAATTCAACTGCTCTTGTTATGGAGCTAGTTATATTGGCCGGTGCTCTAGGAAATTGATTTTTTTTGCTCACTCGGGAACATCTCCTACTATGGCTAAGCAAAGGTATAGTTTAAGCCATCAACAGCTCGATACTAGACCACCTGGTCTGAACCGGCTACCCACAAAGGTAGCATTGACGAATCCTTCTCCCTCATTATCTACCAGGTACCAAACAAATTGCCAAAAACATCGAGGTGCCGCATGCTCCAAACAGCAGAAGCTATCGCGATTCGCGTGAAACAACTAGTGCTTTGAGTGCAAAAGTAGCAAATCCAGCCACTACTAATGTCCTGGCCAGCCCTCAGTGGAGACCATAAATTCATGAATTTGTATTGTTATCTTTCCGAATTTTTCTGACATTCAGTTTATTGTTATGTTGGTGCTGTTGAACTGTAATCTGTTGATATTATTGATTCAGTTTTATTTAAACAACATTAATGTTGTTAATAACACTAATTCATTCATTCACTATAATGTATATATGACTGTAGAACCTGATGAAGAAGGCGTTATCGAAAAGAATATTCTTTGTTCAATAACCATTCTACTGAAAAATTTTAATAGGCATTTTTAATCAATTTGCAGTGAGCTTCTAAATTTACAAATCATTTCCCTGGTGACCTCGAATGTGACTGGTTGCTTCTGTCTGTTTTCACACCCTATAG